GTGTGTCTTAGGTAGATTTTTGAGGTGTAGGAGTAGGACCAAAATTGCCAGTAGTAGCTAGCTACAACAAGTTCAGATGGGGATGCTTTTAGGACTTGACATTACATTTCCTCTTTTTAGTGCATATATGTGGCATTCACATTTTCTTAAATCAGTTTTAAAATAACTTTCTAAGGATGTCATTTGTAATTTTTCTAATGCATTGCTTCTCTTGTTCCTTCTTTTGTAACCTTCCCTTGTTGATATGAATAATTGATACATGTGAATTTTCTGTTATTTTGTCACAGCCCCTCTTTACTTTTCTGAAATGTCCACCTGATACAGCATTATGGACCAAGGAATTAAATATCATAGCATGTAATCTTTCTTGAAAAAAATCCTGTAAACACCTTTTGCATTATTATGAAGCCAACTAGAACTGCCTTATAGGTTTCCTGGGACAAAGACAGATAAGAGTAAGGGAAGTGAATTGTAGTACCTCATAGTACCTGAAAACAAACAGACTTCAGTAAATCTAAGTTAAATAAAGCAGCTTTGAGAAAAATTGGTTTTGTGAGATGAATTAAATTAGAATTGATAGAATGGCATATTTGAAACAGAGGCGTTGGGGGAAAATTAGCTTTCTCTAATGTTAGGTCTATAACACAGTGACATTACAATTATGATATGTGTTTTATATTTTTTTTCACTAAAAAGCCAGAGAAACATTTGTTAGTTTATTTTACTTACTATTTCTAATATGTTAAATTTCCAGACATGATAGAATTGCACTTGCACATTATCTTTTATACTGAATTTTTACTGTAACTTTTCTATGTTTAGAAATACCATTGTGCTCCAGCTACCTACAGTATTCAGTACAGTAACATGCTGTATAGGCTGTAGCCTAGGAGCACTATGCTGTACTATAAAGCCTATAGGTGTAGTAGGCGTAACTATCTAGATTTGTGTAGGAATACTCTGTGATGTTCAAACAGTGACCAAATCACCTAACATTTCTCAGAAAATATGCCCATCATTAAGTGAGACGTAACTGTACTTTTTTTTTCTTAGAAAATTATTCAACATATGAAAACCTATACATCAGTAGAGATTACATAAGAATGTTTTATACTATTCATTTGAAAGCTTCCATGTAATTGATATTTTTGTATTCTTAATTCTTTATTAATCCATTGTGCACAGAACCATGAATAGACTGACCCAGCTGGAAAGATTGGATTTGGGAAGTAATGAATTCACAGAAGTGGTAAGTTCTCTCTTACTGTGCATAGTCTTATATTTCATCAAGAACAAAATGTGAAAATTAATGTATTCTCAGCATTTTTCAAGTATGAAATTGGGTAAAGATAAACACACAATTTTGAGAGACAAGATATGAAAGTTCTTAACAGGGAAAATTAATCAGATAGAAACACTTGACAGGTAACCAAAAGTTTGAGAGATTGTAAGAGAAAAACAAAGTTTCATCAGACTAGAATAGACTGCATGAGGCAAAAGTGCTACTTCTGGTCAAAAATAACTCTCAGGGGTATTGCTTAGGAATTTATTCAGTGCTAAAACGGAATAAATTGTACTTAACAGCTAAAGGGGAAATATTGAGTGAAACAACTGTTATTGTTGAGTTGGTAGTGAGATCTCTGGATTATGTTTTTGCTTTGTATGCTAAGTGTACTATGATACTGAATGAAAAAGGAAAGGAATATGTAAGCAGTTTTTTAGCTTTCATCATTTTTCCAAGAGAACTCAGAAATTTGCCAGATATATTCTTTGAAGAAGTTATTAAAAATGTTTACATTATGTCTGCAAGTTTATTTTTTTTTAAATTGTGGTAGATTTCAAACGATAGTGTTGAGAACAAGAATTCTGCAGCACTGCCAGCTGCATGATTGCCCTATGGGTATTGTTTTGTACATTTGCTCACTAAATACACTCAGCTTCTCAGGTTTTGGGTACCTCATTTTATTTTAATAACTCTTTCATATTCTTACATTTTAATTGAAGGTGACTTATGATTGGCTTTACTGTGTGTTTTGGAAAACTTTACTGCTTGTGAAAAAATACATATTCTGTGCTTCCCAAATTAACTATTGTACTCTCTCAATATATGTTTTATATGTATTAATCTGTTTCCATATTAACTGTTCGAAAATTCTTAATTATTGTTTATTTTATGAATTGGAGCAGCATTCAAAAATCATTAATTTTTTGCCCTAGCCAGTTTGGCTCAGTGGATAGAGTGTCGGCCTGCAGACTGAAGGGTCCCGGGTTTGATTCTGGCCAAGGGCACATGCCTGGGTTGCGGGCTTGATCCCCAGTAGGGGCCGGGTAGAAGGCAGCCAATCAATGATACCCTCTCGTCATTGATGTTTCTATCTCTTCCTTCCTCTCTTAAATCAATAAAGAAATATATATTTTTTTAAAAATCATTAATTTTTGTATCATTTTGGTCTTCCAACTAATATATATACACTAATAATAGAGGGATATGCAAATTGTCCGGTACGCCATCACGTAACTACCAATCGGGACGGGTCGGGGCTGCAGCAGAGAACTCACAGCACATCCTTGCTGGGGGTCCGAAGGATGCAGAGAGGAAGGGAGAGCAGGTAGGCAGTTAGGGGGATCAGGCCAGGAGGGGAGAGCAGATAGGCAGTTACGGGGATCAGGCCAGGAGGGAAGCACAGATAAGCAGGGGCATCCGGCCAGGAGGGGAGCAAAGATAGGCAGTTAGGGGGATCAGGCTCGGAGGGGAGAGCAGATAGGCAGTTAGGGGGATCAGGCCAGGAAGGGAGAGCAGATAGGGGAATCAGGCCAGGAAGGGAGAGCAGATAGGGGAATCAGGCTGGCAGGGGAGAGCAGTTAGGCAGGGGGATCAGGCCAGGAGGGGAGAGCAGATAGGCAGTTAGGGAGATCAGGCCAGGAGGGGAGAGCAGATAGGCAGTTAGGGGGATCAGGCCAGGAGGGGAGAGCAGATAGGGCCATCAGGCCCGCAGGGGAGCAGTTAGGGGCATCAAACAAGCAGGCAGGTGAGCGATTAAGAGCCAGTGGTTCCAGATTGTGAGAGTGATCCTGGATTGGAGAGGGTACAGCCCGGGCTGAGGCACCCCCCCCCCACACCGCACTCTAACACCCCCCCTCCCCCACCCCGCACGAATTTCGTGCCCGGGCCTCTAGTACTTTTAAAAAAAACATACTATTAGAATTATAACAGGTAAAGCTCAAAAGGGAATTTTAAAATATCCATGTTGTACCTAGAATTCTTACCAATATTTATATGTTAAAAGTAAATCTGAATGATATGCCTTTTATCTATTACTCAAGTTATTATGGTGATTAGATATGTTGGTACTTGATGCCATCACAGTGTCATTGATTGGACACAGGTTTGTGGGGTGACAAATATCTTTGAAGGATGAATTCAGAAGAGCTTCCAAGGGTGAATGCCCACAGTCAAATTTTGCTTGAATACCAAGGACCACTACAACTCTTTGATTGATCTTTTGGGTCCTCAACATTATATTATAAACAATCTTCCACCATGTAATTGCTGGGAGTTTATAATAACTGAGCCACTCAGTTGGTTAGAGTGTCGTCCGTACACCAAAAGGTTGTGGGTTTTATTCCCAGTCAAGGCACATACCTAGGTTGTGTGTTTGATCCCTGGTTGGGCCACATATGGGAGGCAACCAGTTGATGTTCTCTCTCCCTTCCTCTCTAAAAATAAGTAAAAGCATATCCTCAGGTGAGGATTAAAAAATAGTAATCTATAATATAATAGTAATCTATAATAAAAGCGTAATATGCTAATTAGATCGGACATCCTTCTGGATGAAGCCAGGGCTGCGAGGGAAGCCCGGGTGCCGGCAGCCGAGGGCAGGAAGGCCTACTCTTGCACGATTTGTGCATCGGGCCTCTAGTAATAAAATAACAGAATGCGCTTATCACTTGATTATGCCGTGGTTTACTTACCTTTCCCTTATTGGACATTTAAGATGTATGTTGCCCTATTTCTTTTTTTCTTTCCTCTTTTTCTTAACAGCCTTCATGTTTTTACAGGTAATGATTGAGAGTAGCTTTTTATTGTACTCTTGAAAGCAGTGGCACTTATTTTTATTTCTTTATTGAATAAATACATCTATTATGTAATCAAAAGCTTACATGAATGTTATTCAGTCTGCTGTTAGGGATTGTCTATCTCTGTGCTCTCCTGTAGTTGTAATATAGTAGAAAGGCTTGACTCGGCTCTGCTTTATCTCCTCCTCAGATTTTGTTTTAAACTAAAAGTTGTCATTAGACATTTCTAGGGGCTTTTTTTTTTCCCCCAAATAAAAACATTCAAGTAAATAATTGGATTCCCTCCTCTTCCTTCTAACTCCAAACAGCCTGAAGTACTTGAGCAACTAAGTGGATTGAAAGAATTTTGGATGGATGGGAATAGACTGACATTTATTCCAGGGGTATGTATATCAAATTTTAAATGGCTTTCCTTACTACTCTGTATCCTTTGCAGTTTTATTAATTGTATATTTTCAAATCATTTTTACTTGGTGAAAATATGGATGGTTATTTAATTCTTAATAGTATTAAATAGTTATAAAGAATTTTTTTATTGTTAACACATAATTAACTAAAATCAGAAAATTTTCACAATAAACTTTTGTAAAATAGTCTTTTTTTAATACCATGCAGTGTGTCCTTCCCAGTGGTTGCAATTGACTTTGTAACCTAATTCAGTTTGCCAATGGAATTGTTCAAGTAGAGTATTTTCCATGTAGTTTCTGTTTTATCAACTGACATTTTGTTCATTCCCACACCTAAAGAATAAGAATCCCTGTGTGTGTTATCTCCCTTGCCAATGATGGACAGCTGAGTTCCCAAGAAAAGTGTATCTCCATTGTCACTCTGCTGGGCTAAAATTAGTAGAAGCTCTTGGCTTTATTACTGAATACATAACTAATGGTACTTTTTTTAAAATTATGAGTTTCCTCTTTCATATAAAACATTTAATTATAACGTATAACTTGGTATTAGGTCCATCACCTAAACGTTTTACAGATCATTTACTGTCGATAGTCATTCTATCTTCTTTTTTTACTTACAGTTTATTGGTAGTTTGAAACAACTCACATATTTGGATGTTTCTAAAAATAATATTGAAATGGTTGAAGAAGGAATTTCAGCATGTGAAAACCTTCAAGATCTCCTATTATCAAGCAATGCACTTCAACAACTGCCTGAAACTATTGGTTTGTATTGCTTTCTGGTTCATGTAATTGATTTTTAGTAATGTAAAATCTGAGAAATTAAGTTTTTGCCATTGTTGAGATAGTTTTACTGTACTGCTGAAGTCACAAATCTTACTTGAATTTTTTCCTAATTTACTAATAATTTTTCCTAATTTACTCCTTTGTTGACATTATTGTATTTTTATTTAAGGAAATGTCATTTTTATTACTGTAATAAAATTATTGTTTTTAAAAAAGAGGTTAATTGATCCAAACTTGGTTGAATTCTTGGTCGTAGCCCTTAACCTTATAACTTTTTTTCAGTCTTACTTCATTTTAGACTCACAGCCACAAGAGACCAGGTTAGCAAATTTTATGAGTCTATTAATTCGTCTAGTTGCTTGTCAGATAATGCATCAAGGGAATTAAATTATTTTGATTAAAGAATCAAAAAGTTAAATCTTGGCTTCTTTGTGATGTTTAAATATAAAACTAAAAAATATTTTTACGTGTTTTTCAATTGAGCTACATAGTCTTTTTTAGCTCAGGTTACATTTTTTAAATTCCATAATTTATTCAGAATGTTTATTTTAAATTAAGCTCCATTTTCTTGCTTTAGTACTTGTTATACATAGAATACATAGAATAGTTTGTTACACACCTATGAAAGCTACCTTCATACTACCATTTCTTTAATTCATTAATAACACAAGTTTGTATTACATGTTTTTACTGTGCATGGCATTGTTTTAAGGAGGAGGACTATAACCGTGAACAAAGCAATCAAAAAGTCCCTACTCTAATGTTGCTTACGTTTCAGAGGGGGTTAATAGGTAAATATACACTAATGTTAAGAGGTAATATGTAGGTAAAAATTGAAAATACATGGTAAGGAAATAGAATGAAGGGGTTTGTGTAGTATCGCCAGGTTGATTAAGAAAATTTTTTATGATTAATGTCAAATGTCATTTGTGCTCACATTGACTGTTGGTTGACTTGCTTATATTTCAAGCTGGAAAATTGTGTATTATTTCTTCCCTCAATAGGTTCATTGAAGAATGTAACAACTCTTAAAATAGATGAAAATCAATTAATGTATCTACCAGACTCTATTGGAGGGTAAGATTTTTGTGAATTAATAAAACTAGAAGACTTTACTTTCAGTTCAGCATGCCATATATATTTTCAGATAATTGCATAAATAGCATCTAAAGGAGATTTCATAAACATTTAAAAAAGCAACTGATTGCAGGTTGGGTATATTTATAATAAAGATAAATCGATTTTTTATTGGTGAAGCTTATCTTAGTGGAGACAGAGTTTTGCTAGTTTCATTAAAGTCAAGTTCAAAAGTTCCTAGGTTCTTAAGTTTTGGATTATATATAAGAAATATTTTTTAATGCATGTTTTCTTTCTTAATTAAAGGTTAGTATCAATAGAAGAACTGGATTGTAGCTTCAATGAAGTTGAAGCTTTACCTTCATCTATTGGGCAGCTTACTAATATAAGAACCTTTGCTGCAGATCATAACTACTTACAACAGTTACCCCCGGAGGTACTGTATTTTAACTTTCTTTTGAATTTTCATTTTTTTCTAATTATTTATTATAGGTATCTCGTATGGTTTTATTTTCTTTCAGAAATAATTATGTAACTAAGTTACTTTTTTAGCTACATTGGTTTGCAAGAGATACCAGAGATACTTTTCTTCATACATGAAAATTAATAATTGAACATATAATTAATAAAGGGAAAATGTAATTTACTTTTATAAATGAGAAGAGTATTTTTTATAACTTTTGGAAATATTTTACTTATGTCTGTTTAGCAGAAAGCCAAATTTCTGATCTCCAGTTTTATGTTTCTTTCAGATTGGCAGATGGAAAAATATAACTGTGCTGTTTCTCCATTCCAATAAACTTGAGACACTTCCAGAGGAAATGGGTGATATGCAAAAATTAAAAGTCATTAATTTAAGTGACAATAGGTTTGTAATATGTATTTATTGGTTTGTTTATAGAAGACATTGATTAGATAAAATGGAAGTTTCACTATATATATGATAGAAAATCTAATATATGTTCTTTTTATATATACTCATTTTTAAATAGAATTTTTATCTGAAATAATGATGTAATTTTACCTGATTTTAATTATACTGTTCTTATTTGTCACAGTTCTTTTTTTCTTATGTTTTTATTGATTATTAAAGAGAGAGGCAGGGAGAGGGATAGAGTGATAGAAACATCAATGAGAGAGAAACATCATTGATCTGCTACCTCCTGCACACCCACTAGGAGGGACGGAGCCTGCAACCCCTGAATGGCAATCGAACCAGTGATGTCTTGGTTCCTGGGTTGATACTCAACTGCTGATCCATACCAGCTGAGCTTCATGGTTCATTTTGTGTTGACTTTAGTTATGCAACCTTTATTCTCTCCTTTATAGCAACCTTTTTTATTTCTAAAGTCAGATCTTCACCTTAATACTGCTGTTGAGCAAAGCAGCTTTTAATGTAATCTGCTTTTTGTATTTTCCTCTGCGAAGGTGTGATTAGACACCCATCATATAGTTTGGACGATATAGCCAAGGTGTAGATCAGATAGATCACTAGGGCTGCTAAATTGTAACAAAGTTTAAGGTAAGAACAATAATTTTTCCAGAGGTAAAGATAAAATACAGTAGTCCCCCCCTTATCCGTGATTTCACTTTTTGCAGTTTCAGTTACCTGCGGTCAATTGTGGTTCGAAATATTTAATGAAAAAGTGCCAGAAATAAGCAATTTATAAGTTTTAAATTGTGTTCTGTTCTGAGTATCATGATGAAATCTCAAGCTCTCTCACTCTGAGCATGAATCATCCATTTGTCCAGCATATCTACACTATATAAGCTACTTGCCCTGTTGTTCATCACTTACTAGCCTCTTGTTATCAGATCAACTCTCACCGTATCACAGTGCTTGTGTACATGTAACCCTTATTTTATTTAATAATGGCCCCAAAGCACAAGAATAGTGAGGCTGGCAATTTGGATATGCCAAAAAGAAGCCATAAAGTGCTTTCTTTAAAGGGAAAGCTATGTATGTATTGGGAGGGCAGTGGGGAGGAAGTAAATATAGGGTTTGGTACTATCCTTGGTTTCAGGCATTCACTGGGTGCGGGGGTGGGGGTGGAACTTATCCTCTGTGGAAATGGGAACTTCTGTAATGATAAAAGAGTGTTTCTAGAGCATTTTTACATTTTGCTTTCATAGTTTTTTATAAAGTATTCAAAACAATCCTATGAAATAGTATAACAGGTATTCCCATTTTGTAGAGGAGAAAATTAAGACTCAGATTTAATGACCTTTAATGAAAACCCAGTTTTCTGACTAGATAGGATATTCTGACTTCTATTTTTTTAAGAATAACCACTGCCTTAAAAAAAAAAATAAATCCTTGTTTTAGCGCATACATTGTACCCTAAAACTAGGGCCCTAAGTTCCAACAAATTGCCTTGGAAGATGGGTACAAAAGAGTAGATAAGTGTAAGACAGAAGGTTTAAATAGACATTCTATTTTAAATAGGATTCTATTCTAATTTAGCATTCTAATGAGTTTTATATTACTTTATTTTTACTTGTTATAATGTTAAAACAGTCCTCTTGAATATGAAAGTGCTGGCTTACAATGAAATATAGATCAGTGCAGTTTCTATAACAAGCTGTCACTATGAGTGCTTCCTATAACAGAGTTTGTTCTCTAAATACAAATAAAACATCCAAAGCAGTTTTATGAGACATTGCTTAATGTGTTCTTGTCTTTTCATTAAGGTAGGGATAGTTAATATTATTTCTTATTAGATAATTTTTTGAGGTTATTGGATTATCCACCCCCCCCGACCAAATTGATTCAATTGAAGAATTGTATCTTAAAAACTGATTCCTATAAAACTGAATAATATTTTGTTTTATGTCCCATTCAAAGACCTAAATTGTGTGTTTTTTTTCGTGAATTAGCTACTTTTCTCCTATTTTCGTATGCAGTAACATAACATTTTTTAGAAGACCAAGTTATTTTCATTTTAACATTTCTCATGTTAAATTTTCATTTTTGTTTATATATTTTCCCATAGGTTAAAGAATTTGCCCTTTAGCTTTACGAAGCTACAGCAGTTGACTGCAATGTGGCTCTCAGATAATCAGGTGAGCATTCTGATTTTGTAAATTACTGAAGTTTCAATTGTTGTAAACAGTTATGTATTCTAATTTACATAGTCTTATTTGAGAGCAGTTATACTGGTGAACACACGTAAAAACGTATTATACATTAAAGAAAACCTTAGAAAATATTTACATGCAGATAATTTTAGTGAAATATATGTAGATTTTTAAATAGTAAATTCTGTTGGACTTATCTGATCTATAAAAAAGATACATTAGGTTAGGAGGTCAGACACAGCACTCCCTAACTTTTTAGTTTTTATAGTAATTCTCTATGGCATATATTTGTAAAAATTTGATAATTTAAATTATACTTCTAATTAAGCACTTCCACATACCTTAAGGAAGTGTTTCTAAGGGATTAAGAGTTATATCTTGGGCTTTTCTTTGTTTGGCAAACATTTATTGAAAGCTTACAGCAGACCACGAACTATTCTGGGATCAGGAGATATATTGGTGAAGCAAGTAGACTCTTCTTACGTCCTTATTGAGTTTACATTCTCATGGGAGACAAACAAATATCTGTGTAATGTTTCAGAGCTATAGAAAAATCTTGATGGGCATTAGAAGAGTATGAGGGTTGAATATACTATTTGCTGATTTTTCTCATAAAATAAAGCTTAGTATTTGAGTTTCAGCAATGCCTTATAATAATTTATCTAAAGCTGTATTTTCCTGAGGTTTAGATACACTGGTCTCATGAGGTATTTATAAGTTCAGTAGTGACATTTGCTTCAGGAACTGTATTGTGTCTCTCTTTTGGAGTATATTAACAACCCTGTTGTGTACTACAGTAAAGAAATCCACTTGTCTGTGCATCGGGATTCTCCAAACTTCTTAACTGAGGATCCCTTTCCACCTACCTCTTATTAAAACCCTAAAAGTCTTAAGTTGATGTTGATCCACATTTATGAATCAGACTGTAGTATTTACTTGTTCTGCAAATTAGGAAAGGAGATATTAAAATGATGATATCTTTGTTTTTCTTAGAGCTTGAACACAAGTGTGTCCATATATTTGGAGCTCTTAACTCTCTGATCTTTCTTAATTGAATTACTTACATTTGAACCTGATTTGAAATTTTGCAGCTGGATTCATTGACATAACTCCCAATCTTGGGGACTCTTAGACTGTTAGTAAAATAACACTGTGGTGGATAAATTATTGCTAGCAGATTATGCCAGGTGACTCAGTTTAGTGAAATTATCTAGTATCTAATATAGTTTCTTCATATTTGCATTGTTCTATTCTTGCTTCCACTTGTTAATTACTTTAATACAAAAATTATGGTGATAAGGGTTTTGTGTTTTTCTCACTTTGACAAAATAGTAACGTAGTAAATAGTAAAACATATTTACAGAGCTATAAAACCTCCCTAACAGTGTGACCCAGATGTTTTACTATAAAAGAACCAAGTATGGGGGAGAAGGTATGTGACAGTGGTTTTACTATGAACTATGAAAATAAAGTGCTCCTGAATATTTCACTGACAATGTAGGGAGTATACCTATAAGCAGTACATGCAATAACATAATTTTTCACGATTCTCTCTGATGGCTTGAACAGAACAATTGGTTATTTACTCCTCATTCATTTTGCCATTCTCATTTAAGAACCATTTAATGAACAACTGCTTCATGCCAGGCAAATGAAGGTCACTTTAATACAATATGGTAAAAGACGTGGTGTAGGACTAAGGCTTCAGCATCCAAGAAAGGAAACATAACTTGGGGATGTAAAGGCAGGTTTCCCAGAGGAGGAGATGCCTGCAATGCCTAATTACTTCTCAAAAGAGTTACAGGATTTAAACAAAGGAAGGGGAAGAGTGTTCTGGTTTGAGAGAATATTATGAGCCTAAGTATTTACTGGTGAATCAGTCTAGTATATTCGGTAACTCTACGAGTAGTCCATCGTGACTAGAGCATTACCTATTAGATGGAAGAATAGGAAATGAGGCCAAAGAGGTGTACAGTGACCAGGTCATAGAGCATGTTGTATGCCATGCAAAGGAGCTTGTATTATATTTCAAGAACAGTAGACTTTATTTTCTTGCACGTCAACTCTGATAAATTAATGAGTGGCTTTGAAAGATTGTTTTAAGGATTCTGAAGCTATAATCAGGCTCAGTTGAAAATTGCTGTGATTAGGGTGACTGTAATTTATTGTCCATATTAGGCTAGGACACTTGATAGTGAAAGAAAGGCATAGTCATTGATCAGTTACTCATATGTCTTCAATTTAAGAGGAAGAAGTGATTGTGTGATACATGGGAGTCCTCCTATAGGAGAAGAGGAATCAGTGTCACATATGAGCAGGCAAATGTGATTAGATTGATATTTTAGAACAGTAGTGGGGAACGTCCAGCCCACAGGCCATGTAAGGCCTGCGAAATAATTTGGTCTGGCCCTGCCAAGGCATTAGGAGTGAGTTAATTAAATGTTTGACCAAATATAACAGGCTAATTTTAAAGTTGATAATTTTGTATGGCCCACAAATAATGATATAAATATCCAAATGGCCCTCGGCAGAAAAAAGGTTTCCCACCCTTGTGTTTTTGGGCTGTGTTATGGAAGATGGATTTAGCAAGGGATGATGCCAGGTGTGACAGCAGGGGAGACTGGTTGGAGAGCATTGCCATACTCAAGGCAACAGAAAATGCTGCCTTGAAATAAAGTAATGATAACAGTGCCAGGGAAGAGCCAGTATATTTAAGGCATAACTTAAAAAGTCATGTCAGTACAACATTTGAAGAGGGCATGTATGTGAGAAGAAAGGAAGTAAAAGCAAAAATGATCCTCAAAAGTTTTGCTTGAGTGACTAGGTGGAGATTAATACCATAACCAAAATAGGGAATTACAAAGGAGAAAATACGTTTCTGGGAAGAAGTTAAGTTCCCGTTAGGTATACTGCATTTGAAGGACCCTTAACATTGAGGTCGGCATGTGTAGAACAGTTCTAGTGGCCATGAGACCCTGCAACTTAATTTTAGGCTACAGTTTCTATGAACTTGATTTATCCTTTCTTTTAATTTCTAACTTCCAGGGATTTCTCAAAATTATTCCTAAAGGCATAATTTCCTTTTTCCCAATACCATAATATATTTATTCCTTTTAACTTGTAAAATTTCTTTATTAAAAAGATTTGGGGCACAAGAAGAAATATAAGATTTATCCCATCATCTTAATTACTTTTTCTAGGGGGCTGTTTCATGACTTTTATTATTTTCTCAAAATTGATTATTTAAAATGTTTTTAAATGCTAGGGATGGATGAATCCTGAGGACTACTACTATTTAAGTGGCAGGTGAGTTAATAGTCTTAGAAAGAGTGACCATAGAGGTAGAAGGAAAACTATGTGGTGGTGGTTTCAAGTAAAGGGTGAAGCAACTGGCTTAAAAGGAGTTGAATCAACTACAATAAAAAAAATGGGAAAAAATCAAACACTTGGAGGCTAAATAGCATGCTATTAAACAATGATTGGGTAACCAAAGAGATCAAAGAAGAAATAAAAAGCATTCTGGAAACAAATGACAATGAAAACACAACAATTCAAAATCTATGGGACATACAGTGAAAGCAGTCCTGAGAGCTCTACATGCCTACCTCAGAAAACAAGAAAAAATGGTAATAAATTATCTCACCCTACAACTTAAAGGATTATAAAGAGAGCAACAAGAAAAGCCCAGAGTAAGCAGAAGGAAGGAAATAATAAAGATCAGAGCAGAGAGAAACAACATAAGAGACCAAAAAAAATACCAAAGATCAATAAAACCAACAGCTGATTCTTTGAAAGGATAAACAAGATTGATGAACCTCTAGTCAGGCTCACCAAGAAACAAAGAGGGAGGACCCAAATAAACAAAATCAGAAATGAAAGAGGTCGCCAGAACCGGTTTGGCTCAGTGGATAGAGCGTCGACCTGCGGACTCAAGGGTCCCGAGTTCGATTCCAGTCAGGGGCATGTACCTTGGTTGCAGGCACATCCCCAGTGGGGGACATGCAGGAGGCAGCTGATCGATGTTTCTCTCTCATCGATGTTTCTGGCTCTCTATCCCTCTCCCTTCCTCTCTGTAAAAAATCAATAAAGTATATTAAAAAAAAAAAAAAAGAAATGAAAGAGGTGAAGTAACAACTGACCCCACAGACATACAAAGGATTATAAAAAAAACTGTATCTATATCCTGGCCTGCGGGGATCAGGCACAAACCGGCTGACATCCCCTGGGGGGTCCTGGATTGCGAGAGGGTGCAGGCCAGGCCGAGGGACCCCACCAGTGCACGATCTGGGCTGGGGAGGGACTGCGGGAGGGCTCCAGGGCATGTCTGGCCCATCTTGCCCAATCCCGATCGGCCGGACCCCAGCAGCAAGCTAACCTACTAATCAGAGCATCTGCCCCCTGGTGGTTAGTTCATGTCATAGCGACTGTTCAAACAGTCAGACACTTAGCATATTAGGCTTTTATTATATAGGATACTACAAACAACTTTACTCCAACAAACTGGACAACCTAGATGAAATGGACATATTCCTAGAAAAATACCAGCTTTCAAAACTCAATCAGGAAGAATAAAAAAACCTGAGTAGGCCAATAACTACTGGTGAAATTGAAACAGTAATCAAAAAACTTCCAGCAAACAATAGCCCTGGACCGGATGGCTTCACAGGGGAGTTTTACCAAACATTAGAAGAAGAACTAAAACCTATTCTCAGATTATTTCAAAAATTCAAGAGGAAAGCAAACTTCCAAGCTCTTTCTATGAAGCCAGCATTACTTTAATCACCAAACCAGATAAAGACACTACAAAGAAAGAGAATTATAGGCCAATATCCCTGTTGAACTTAGATGCTAAAATCCTCAACGAAATGCTAGCAAATCAGATCCCGCATTACATTAGAAAGATAATACACCATGACCAAGTGGGATTTATTCTGGAGATGCAAGGATGGTACAATATCCGCAGTCGATAAACGTTATACATCACATAAATTGAGAGACAAAAATCACATAATCATATCAATTGATGCAGAAAAGGCATTTGACAAAATCCAATATCCTTTCCTGATTAAAAACTCAGCAAAGTGGGAATAGAGGGATCATACCTCAACATAATAAGAGCCTTATATGACAAAGCTACAGCTAACATACTCGGTGGGCAAAAACTAAAACCATTTCCCTTAGGAACAAGACCAGGATGCCCACTTTCACCACTCCTGTTCGACCTAGTACTAGAAGTGCTAGCCACAGCGATCAGACAAGAAAAAGAAATAAAAGGCATCCAAATTGGAAAAGAAGTAAAACTGTCATTATTCACAGATGACATATTTCACATAGAAAACCCCAAAGAATCCATCAAAAATTAGACTTAATAAATGAATTCAGCAATGTAGCATAATACAAAATTGACACTCAGAAATCTATGACTTTTTTATACACCAATAACTCACAGAAAGAGAAACAAAAAAAACCTATCCCATTTACCCTTGCAACAAAAAAGATACCCAGGAATAAACTTAACTAAGGAGGTAAAAGACCTGTACTCAGAAAACTATAGGATGTTGAAAAAAAAGAGATAAAGGAATGCATAACCAAATGGAAGAATATACCGTGTTCAGGGATTGGTAGAATCAACATCATTAAAATGTCCATACTACCCTAAGTAATCTATAGATTGAATGCAATCCCCATTAAAATACCAATGACATATTTCACAGATCTAGAACAAACTCTCCAAAAATTCAATTGGAATAAAAAAAGACCTCGAATAGCTGCAGCAATCCTGAGAAAGAAGAACAAAGTTGGAGGGATCACATTACCAGATACCAAGCTACTGATATATTACAAAGCCACTGTTCTCAAAACTGCCTGGTACTGGCACAAGAACAGACATAGGCCAATGGGACAGAACGGAGAAACCAGAAATTGACCCAAGCCATTATGTTCTGTTAATATTTGACAAAGGAGGCAAGAACATACAATGGAGTCAAGACAGTCTCTTCAATAAATGGTTTTGGGAACATTGGACAGATACATGAAAAAAAAAAGAAAAGAAACTAGACCACCAACTTACACCATACACAAAAATAAACTCAAAATGGATAAGTGATTTAAACGTAAGACAGGAAACCATAAAAATCTTAGAATAATCCATAGGCAGCAAAATATCAGACATATCTCCTAGCATTATGTTTACTGATACATCTCCTAGGACAATGGAAACTAAGGAGAAAATAAACAAATGGGACTACATCAAAATAAAAAGCTTCTGCACAGCAAAAGAAACATCAGCAAAACACCAAGAAAGCATGGGGAGAACATATTTGCCAATGTTACATCTGATAAGGGCCTAATCTCCAAAATTCATAAGGAACTCATACATCTTAACAAAAGGAAGATAAACAATTCAATAAAAAACCGGGCAAAGGACTTAAATAGACACTTTTCGAAAGTGGACATACAGAAGGCCAACAGACATGTGAAAACATGCTCAAAGTCACTAATCATCTGAGAGATGCAAATCAAAACTACAGATACCATCTCACCCCTGTCAGAATGGCTATCATCAACAAATCGACAAATGACAAGTGCTGGCGAGAATGTGGAGAAAAAGGAACCCCTGTGCACTGCTGGTGGGAATGCAGACTGGTGAAGCCACTGTGGAAAACAGTATGGAGTTTCCTCAAAAAATTAAAAATGAAACTCCCATTTGACCCAGTAATCCCACTTCTAGGACTATATCCCAAGAAATCAGAAACACCAATCAGAAAGAACATATGCAACCCTATGTTCATAGCAGCACAATTTACAATAGCTAAGATTTGGAAACAGCCTAAGTGTCCATCAGCAGATGAGTGGATTAAAAAACTTTGGTACATCTACACAATTGAATACTACACTGCTGTAAAATAAAAAGAACTCTTATTATTCACAACACATTGGGTGGACATGGAGAGCATTATGCTAAGCGAAATAAGCCAGTCGGAGAAAGATAAATATCACGTGATCTCACTCATTTGTGGAATATAATGAACAACATAAACTGATGAACAAAAATAGAGACAGAGAGGCGTAGAACAGACCGTCAAACTTCAGAGTGAGGCAGGGGAGTGGGGCGGGGGGTAAGAGATCAACCAAAGGACTTGTATGCAAAGCATATAAGCTTAACCAATGAACACAGACACTAGGAGGGTGAGGGTATGTGCTGGGGAATGGGGTGGTCGGGGAGAGGTCAATGCGGGGGGAAAAGTAGACTTATGTAATACTTTAAACAATAAAGAATTTAAATCTTAAAAAATGGAGTTTAATATAACAGGATAAATGCCGTTGAGAGGTCAGTTCAAATGAAGTCTGACTTGGGGTGCTGAGCACACAATACACTAGTGAGATTATGTGTCATAGAATTGTGCACCTGAAACCTGTATAAATTTGTTAACTGGTGTCACCCAAAAAAAAGTCAATAAAAAAATACATTATATTTTGGCAAGTTATAGCTAATTAGTTACAACTAATGTGAATTTAGAGAGATGTCAAAACCCAAATTGAATCAGTCTTAGAAATAAATGAGGGAATTGAGCCATGTGATTGTTGATTAGACTTCTAAGGGGGTTGAATGAGAAAGAAAAGAAGTGAAACAAAGTAAGTGGTAGCTTAGGGGTAGGGTAAGAAGGGATCCTTGAATATTGTTTTTAGGTTGTTGGGAATACTCTGTGTGGAGATTGAGATTAAGGACATGAGAGGGGATTGGATAGCTGAAGTGGAATCTGATAGAACCAAAAGCTCTGGCCGGGATTCTTACCTCAAAGGGAGCTTGAGTTGAAGTTTGTAAATGATAAAACTCTTGGAATGTAGCCATTTCTGAACTTGTAGCAGTTCTTGAATCCTATTTTTTAAAAATATTTTTTTTATTGATTTCAGAGAGGATGGGAGAGGAAGAGAGAGAGAGAAAACATCAATGATGAGAGAATATCATTGATTGGCTGCCTCCTGCATGCCCCACCCTAAGCATCGAGCCTGCAACCTGGGCATGTGCCCTGACTGGGAATTGAACCGTGACCTCCTGGTTCACAGGTCAACGCTCAACGCCTGCTGGGCTTGAATCCTATTTTTATCTTTAAAAAATATTTTAAAAGATACTACCTTTTTCAGACTACAATTTAGAAAATTAAGGAAGGGTTTTCAGGCAACTTTGAGAACTGTGTTGAAATTGGTTACCACAAACTTGTAGTTAACACTAATTTGCTCAGTTGTGCAATATAGAAAAAGCACATAATTGTAATGATTCTGCATTGCACCTTTGCCAAGGCAGGTGCAAGAGAAGGACACTGTAGCGAGTAGATCTTGATAATTGGCAGGAAAGTGGTTGTAATGAGATATGGTGAGGTACAAAAGGAGAAGCAAAGATAGGAAAGAACGCTGGTGACAGAGTTGAAGGTTCAAGGGAATGACGGTCTTGATGAGGCACATTGACAAGTCATGTGAGAGCTGCCTAGGGTCTATGTTGCCATACCCTGTGGTTGTCCTTTTCACTGGCCACTCCTCAGCTTCACTTTTAGGAATTCTTCTTGTACTTATCCCTTATACTAGTATGTAGTGCCCCTCCTGGTGCTCTAGACTAGCATTGGCCAACCGGTGGTCCACGGACCACTGGTGGTCTGTGAGGTCCGAAAGGTTGGCGACTGCTGCTCTAGACTATGCTTTAATTTATTTCCCTACACTTTCCTCTTGGAAATTTTTATTTACTGGACTAAAAGTATGGCTATGTTATCTATATTTTATGTCTGTTGAATTAGCCATGACTGTGGAAAAATTGGCATAAAAGAGGATAGATTTATACTACTAGAGGCCACTGGATATGAGGTAAGGTCGTAAAATGGTAGAGGCAGGATTTATGTTTCTCAAAAGAACAGGTGTTTATACTTGTGGAGAGATGGGTAATGATCTCACAGCATTTGTAGGCACTAACTCACTTCCTGATTGAGGGTTTATGAGATGTCGAATAAGCAACCCTTATTTGAGGAGGTTTCAGGGAAGCCCCGTCTTTGGAGAAGGAGTAGATATACCATTTCCATTGTCGGAAGAGATCAAAGGGAAGTTTTCCGTGAAGAAGACATTTGAGATGCAGGGGAGTTTGTTTACTGTGGAACAAGGAGGGCCCACAGAGGAAATGTTTGAATGGGAGTAATATAGCTAGCTGCAGGGTTTTCACAAGAGTAAGTCCAAAAAATTAATTGATAGAGTGGCAGGAGCAGGAAGGACTGGGTAGTTCCCTGCCTGTCTGGGGTTGGCCAAGGCTTTGATTGGTAGGATGTTAAGTCAGGAGGGTGGCACAAGCATTAATATTAAGTAAATTGAAAACACCAGTTAGGGAAATAATTTTAAGAAAAAATGAGGTCCAAAATAATGGGCTTCCAATTCCACTACTGAGTAACTTGTGATGTCATTAATAGAAACATTAGACACAGAGAAGAGAAAAGCAGGTTACAGTTTATTGTTTTAAGTACTGTCTTTCAGCTGAAATAAACTGCATAACTAAACTAAACCTTCTAAATCATTTCTACAAAAGTATCTTCTCAAATGAGAGTAGTAGGGGAAATACAGTGAATGGAAAGCCTTATTTTATAGCTTTATTAAATCAATATGGTAAGTAATTATTGGATTGTGGATATGAGATCTTTTAATACTTTATTGATAATCAGTGATAAGTTCAATATAGTATGAGTTCGCTTTGTACTTCAAACTAAATTTTATTTAGACTTTTATGAGGTTTAAAAGCAATGCTTAAAGTTTTATTATGTATATATAAATTTGTTTTTGTAATCTACACATTGATACTTTATAGAAAAAATGGTGAGTACTTATTCAAAAGAATTGCTAGATATGTATTTGCTTTAGGATTATTGAAAATTAAACGTTTATTTTCTTTCTGTAGTCCAAACCCCTGATACCTCTTCAAAATGAGACTGATTCAGAGACCCAGAAAATGGTGCTTACTAACTACATGTTCCCTCAGCAGCCAAGGACTGAGGATGGTAAGAATTTAAGAATGTCTTTTCTTAAAAAAAAAAAAAAAAGAAGAAGATATATTTACAAATATATATGTTTGTATATATATTTGAAGACCTAGGGGGAGGGTACATAGGGGATGGGCAGAGGGGAAGTAAAAAGGGGGTGGAAATGGGAGACATCTGTAATATTGTCAACAATGAAAAATATATTAACACATTGTATGCAGGAAATATATTTATATGTTTTATGTTGCAAAAAATTAGCAAAAATGGCCCGCGCCACCTATTAGCACGCGATAAAAACTACCTGCAAAAATTGTGTTAAAACAAAATAAAATAAGGATAAAACAATAATACTGGTAAATCACAGCAAGTTGTGAAGTGAATTTTAAGTCTCTAAGACTTACTGGTTTGAAGGGAATTTGGAGAATCCTATATAATAAAAGGCTAATGTGCAAATCAACCAAACAGTGAAATGACTGGTCACTATGACATGCACTGACCTCCAGGGAGCAGATAATCAACACAGGAGCTGCCCCCTGGTGGTCAGTGCTCTCTCATAGGGGGCTCACAGCTGGCGAGTGCAGCGGTGGTGACAGGAGCCTCTCCCGCCTCCTCAGCAGTCGAACATCCCCCAAGGGCTCCCATGCTGCGAGGGAGCACAGGCCAGGCTGAGGGACGCCCCCTCCCACCCCCTGAATTTCTTGCACCGGGCCTCTTAGTTGGTTAATTAAGTTCTCTGAAAATAGGATAAGAAAGCAATGTCTCAGGGTTATAAATAGTGGAATTTAGAGGTATGTGCATATAATGTACTTCCTTAAATGATTCCTTGAAATTAAACAGCAAACATCTATTATGGATCTCTCTATTCTAAATCACATTTAGGTAAATGTTGGGAACTCATGTTAAGTGTTATGTGATTAGGATTATTAAACCAGGAAATATTTTGTTCACTTCTGTTGTTGGTTGTAGAATTAACACTACCCTTGGATCTATACACTAGGTAAAGATAATCTGTAAAATTCTGAGTATAAATGTTACTTCTTCTAAGTTCTTAATTACATTTTGCCAAGAAAGGGGAATATACCAATTACTATTGGTCACAAATGTTGTTCAACAATTAGGGCATTAAAGCCTTTGAAATTAAGGAGCAAATTGTTTCTGTATATGTTGTACTGTGTGTGTGTGTGTGTGTGTGTGTGTGTGATGTTTATTATATGTGGCACTTAAAAATATAATTTTTATGTATTTTCCTGAAACCAGTGAGCATCTTTATGACCCCAAATTAATTATAAATTATCTCTTAGTACATAGAGACACTGAAGAAAAAAATCAGTTTTAATTTTTAACACATTGTGTACCGCATAGAAATCTCTAAGACATACGCCAGGGACCTCACGTTTTTGGGCAAACTGCACGTTATTTAAATCATCATGATGCACTTTAGGTGTTGTTTTTCAATAATTATAACATTTTTATTTACAAAAACAATTAAATAATTAAAGTTCCTAGTACTTTTTTAACGTATGGTACTGCGTAAAACATTTTCCTCTATGAAGAGGGACCAAACAAAATTTACATAAGTATCTAGATTCGCTCCTTTTTCCATGGGCGTGAAAAACGAGAACACTCGTGAGCGGTTCTTAACAGATGGCACGCGAAACACGAGAAAACTCCTGAGCGGTATGAAATGTGTTAAAATAGACCATCGGCAATTTAAATAAATTCTTAAGCTTCAGTTTTCTTACCTTGAAATAATGATAATAGCATCTGTTTTGCAGGGATTTTGTAAAAAATGAAAAACACTGGTTATAAAGTGCTTAGCACTATGACAAAATCAATTTGCCTGTTATTATTCTTACATTGTTTTGGCAGGTTTTGTACACAGCTTTGAAATACTTAAATAGATTAAAACTAAAATAATTTTCTTTTGTTCCATAACTAGTGATAAATAATTAGAAAACTCATTACTTCACTCTGCTTATTATTTGTTGCTCTTTGCAAGAAGAAATAAAATATATGCTTTGATAAGTTATTTTGTGGGTATATTTAATGAGATTTATTTTGATGAAACAAATGTTTAGCTTTGGAATTGAATTAGCAAGTAATAGTTTTTCATTATTACTCTAAAACATAGTGGATTTTTTGTTTGTTTGTTTTTCTAGTTATGTTCATATCAGATAATGAAAGTTTTAATCCTTCATTGTGGGAGGAACAGAGGAAACAGCGGGCTCAAGTGGCGTTTGAATGTGATGAAGACAAAGATGAAAGGGAGGCACCTCCCAGGGTAAGTGTTCTTTCCTCCTTCAAATTTGAAATAGATCTGCTGATACTTATTGGGTACTATATACCCACTAGAGGCCCAATGCATGAAATTCGTGCAAGAGTAGGCCTTCCTTCCCCCGCTGCTGGCACCGGCTTCCCTCAGCACCCAGGACCCAGGCTTCCGTCGCAGCCCAGGCTTTGTCCGGAAGGTCGTCCGATCTAATTAGCATATTATGCTTTTATTATAGACTAGAGGCCCGGTGCACAAAAATTTGTGCACTGGCGGGGGGGAGGTGTGAGGTGGGGGGGTGTCCCTCAGCCAGACCTGTGCCCTCTCACAGTCTGGGACCCCTTGGGAGATAACTACTTGCTGGCTTAGGCCGGCTCCCGGGTGGCAGATGGCAGGCCCGGATCCCGCTCTGGGTCACAGATGGCAGGCCCTCTGCCACGCCGCCCCGCCCCACTGCCCGCCGCACACGGCAGGCCCGGCGGTCGGTAGGGCAGGGTGGGCGGATCGAGATCGGCCCAGCGGGCGGCGGGGCGCAGGGCGGGCGGATCACGATCCGCCGCAACCCGCCCCGCCGGCCGCCGGGCCGCGCACACATATGGCAGGCAGTGTTTTGGTTCACTGCACATTAGACAATATATAAGTGTGGGAATTTTATATGTGACTGGATTAATATCTAGCTGGAAAACATACCTGTTTGAAAGACAAGTGACAATGTTGGCAATATCCACACCTTATATACCTCAAGTGTAATATGTTTATGCCTGTTAAGAAGTTTTTAAAACAGTGAAATCCATATTTCATCTTTGACTAGTGATAAAACCATACTTTTATTGAGTCTAAAATGCTTTTAAAGGCCTATCATCTGTTTTCACAGTTGCCTCTATGAGCCAGATACCCAGTGTAATTAAGAAGGATCATAGATTGAATTTTAAGGTGTCATTAGAAATATTTATCCATATTTTAATTTTTTCTTTATTTCTCTAGGAGGGAAATTTAAAGAGATATCCAACACCATACCCAGATGAGCTTAAGAATATGGTCAAAACTGTTCAAACCATTGTACATAGATTAAAAGATGAAGAGACTAATGAAGACTCTGGAAAAGATTTGAAACCACATGAAGATCAGCAAGTTGTAAATAATGATGTGGGTGTGAAGGTTAGAAAACTCAATTCAACAGAATTAAACAAAACCTACTGTCAAGTTATTTAAAAATATTAAATGATAATTGATATAATTATCCTTTTTTTATACACTAAAATGTACTCCCAATTTTAGGGTGATATTCTCAGCTACTTGAACTAAAAGGTGTAACAATCAGTGAACCTTCCTAATTGGTATTATTACACTTCATTGTGGTTGCAGACTATTCAGATAGGCATGGGAGTGTCAGCATAAGCTTACAAAACAATTTATTGCCTGAGCAAAGAAGATAATGAATGTCAGAAAATTCATTGTAATGAAAACATGCCCCCCCACACACACCCATAATACTGATTCATTCTAATACTAATTGTAAATATATTACTATGACATACCATTGGCATTTCCTTGGGATATTTCAGAAACGTAAACAAATCCCTAAATTACATCCCTTTAAGGGACTTTTTTCTCACATTGTATCACAGAAACAAGTTTTATCGTGTCACTAGAGTTATTACACATTTCACAATGAGTAGAAAACAATCTAGCCATTCTGAATTTGACCATGGTGAGCTAAGTGACTCACTCATGACCATCCGCTTTGGCAAGTTCTAAGATGGAATGTATCCTCAGCTAAATAAAGTGTGAAGTTTAATGTGGCTCATGGACTTCTGGGTACCTCCTGTCCCCCAAATCAGCATTTTATCTGAGTGCTGCAGATTTCCATGTTTAAAGTTTCCTTGATTTATCCAGGATAAGAAAACATTAAATTACTTTTAAATTTTCATCTGAACTTTAACACAAGAATAGATATAAGGCATAAGGAAAATGAATTCTTTATCTTCTCTTTTAGACTTCAGAAAGTACTGCTCCAGTAAGAAGCAAAGCCGATGAAAGAGAAAAATACATGATAGGAAACTCTATACAGAAGACTAATGAACCTGAAGCTGAGACCAGTCCTGGGAATCCACCAGTGACTGCAAATATGAAAGCCTCTGAGAGCATGAAGCAGGCCAATCACGATGATGTTTTTGAGGTATGGCTTTATGATTATTCTGGAATGATCATAGCAACTGATAAGAATGTAATCTTTCGTTGTTACTAACTAGATAGGAGAGACTTCATATTGATAGCAGAAAATAATGCTAATGCATTTACTATTGAGAAATTTTATAATGTTTGCTATAATATAATATCACTCATTTACCGGTTTAAACTTAAATTTTTTGACCCAATGTACTCAAATATTTACAATGTAAATTAGATTGTGGCAATTCTATTTGAGTTCTATAAAATATGTAATAGTAATTGCTTTATTTCTATAACTTGAAAATGAAAAGGTTGCCAGTGGTATACTCTAGTTATTTGGTTTATTTAAGCATTCATCATTGATTATGAAGTATTGTTTTCCTTGAATATCTGAGACATTTTTCCTTACAGTTTCTTTTAGTGGATTAATCAATGAAAGCTGTAGCCTTTTTTTTAAACAGCTTTATTGATGCTTATAACTCACATATACAACACACCATTTAAATAAAGGGTACAGTTCAATGGTCTTTAGTATTCTAAAAGTTGTGCAACCTTCACCATTATCATGTTGAGAACATTTTCATTATCCAAAAAACAAAGTTCATATTTCTCAGCTACCATCCCACATCCTCTCCCATTTCCCTAACCCCTAAGCAGTTAGTAATCTATTTTATCTGCCTTTATAGATTTGGCTATTCTTGGCATTTCATGTAAATATAACCATACAATCTGTAGTCTTTTGTGATTGGTCTTTCACTTAGGATAATGTCTTCAAGATTATCCATATTGTAGCATGTCTCAATACTTCATTCATTTTTTATGTCTGAGCAATATTCCATTGTAATGGTGAATAACGGACATTTGGGTTATTTCCACATGTTGGGTGTAATGAATAAGACTGTTGTACATATTTGTGTGCAAATTTTTGTGTGGATATATGTTTTTTCTTTTGGGTATATACTTAAGAGAAGAATTGTTGGATCATATGATAACTTAAGTTTAACTGTCTGCAAAACTTCCATTTTTCCAAAAGCGGTTGCACCATTTTACATTCCCCTCATACGCTGCTGGAGGTCATGGAAAATGGTAACCTGTAACTTTTAAAAATGAGATTCTAAAGGTTTTTTTATTTATAGGTACATTGCCCACTATGCGTCCGCTAGCTCCAAGTGTCTATTTAAATTAAGTAAATACAATTAAAAATTGAACTTCTCAGTTACACTTGCCACATTTCAAATGTTCAATTTGACACATCTAGATAGTTAGTGGCTATCATGTTGAACCACTTAAATTATTTCTATCATTACAGAAAGTTCTATTGGAAATCACTGGTGTATAGAAATACTGACATTGTGGGTTTATAAAAGCCTCTATAGTCCTGAAAATTTAAATGTGTTTAAAGCACATAATCTAATGGTTATCCTGTGAGCTAGTATTTACTACAAGAAAAAACTCATGCTTTTGAATGCACTAAATGGGTCACATTATTCAGTAAATTATTATATATGTTGAACCTAATATCAGTCTATGAAAAGGTTATTGGTTTTGTCCCAGTGAGCTTATTGCTCATTTAGTATAATTTCTATGGGTAAGGAGCTATACTGGCAGAATTGAAAAATGGATACATCTACACTAATAAAAGAGAAACATGCAAATTGGTTGTCACTCCACTACGCCCACCAGCCAATCAGGGCGAGTATGCAAATTAAGCCAACAAAGATGGCGGCAGCCACGGAGCTGGAGTGAGCAGGGGGCTTGGGTTTCCCCTGGCAACGGAGGAAGCCAAGCTTCCCGACTGCCCTGGCCACCGCAGAAGGAGTGGCTGGGGGCCTGGGTCATCAGGGGCAACCCAGGCTTCCAGCCGGCCCTGGCCTCCGCTCAAGGAGGGGCTGGCCTCCACTCAAGGCGGGGTTGAAATAAAAAAAAGGAAGGGCTGGGAGCCTGGGTCGTGGGGAGGCGTGGCCAGCCTGAAAACGGCCCTCAGTCCTTTACCCGGGCTGGCCACACCCCATGGAGTAAGAGTCCCCGCTGTGGGGTGTGGCCAGCCCGCAAACAGCCATCATCCCCTCACCCAGACTGGCCAGGCACCCCAGCAGGGACCCTCACCCTGAAGGGGGTATGGCCAGCCTGAAAACAACCCTCAGCCCCTTACCCAGGCTGGTCATGCCACCATGGGGTTAGGGTCCCCGCTGGGAGGCATGGCCAGCCTGCAAACAGCCATCATCCCCTCACCCAGGCTTGCCAGGCACCCCAGCGGGAACCCCCACCCTGAAGAGGGTGTGGCCAGCTTGAAAACAGCCCTCAGTCCCTCACCCAGGCTGGCCATGCCCCCCCCAGTGGGGACCCTCACCCCAGGGGTGGGCCGGCCTGCAAACCACTGCAGGCCCCTCGCCCAGCCGCCCCACATCCCAAGGGAACCCTCACCCTGATCCGGGACACACTTCAGGGAAAACCAGCCAGCCCCACCCGTGCACCAGGCCTCTATACTAATAAAAGGGTAATATGCTAATTAGACTGGGAGACTTTTCAGGAGACCTTCCGACGTTCTTCTGGACAAAGCCATAGTGGCGGGGCTGAGGTAGAGGCAGTTAGAGGCCAAGAGAGGAGGGCAGTTGTGGGTGATCAGGCCAGGATGGGACGGCAGTGGTGGGTGATCAGGCTGGTGCAGGGGGCCGTTGGGAGTGATCAGGCCGGTGGGGGGGGGGGGGGAGGCAGTCGGGGGTGAACAGACCAACAGGGGGGGCCA